GATGCTATGAACATTCATGTGTAACTTTTTGTGTGGATACACACGTTTTCATTCTTCCTGGGTATATATCTAGGAATGAAACTGCTGTGTCATATACTAACTCTTTTGCCTTTTGAGAAATTTCCACACTGTTTTCTAAAATAGTATACCATTTTATACTGCCGCTAGCAATGTATTGCTATTCCAATTTTTGTACTTCTTCACCAACCCACATTATTGTCTGTTCTTTGATTATAGCCATCCCAGATGGTGTAAAGTGGTCCTTTTTTAAAAACTGGCATTGTTATTTTGTGGAATCAAAATTTTTTCTTATCCTGTGGATGGTATTATTTCTTTAAATTCTCGTTGGTTCCCTGAATTGTCTCTCCTTGAGGCTCATCTTTGTTCAGTTGTTTTGAACTTCTGTCTTTCAACTTGGAGACATTTCACAGATGTCTATGATCCTTGTCTGGACATTCATATTTAAAATTCAAAAACTTATTAAGAATGCTATGTTTATGAATAAGGCTTTATGATGTGTGCCCACCCTGCTTTTTCACTGGGGACTCCATATATTATTACTTAGAAATATTTTCTCTTGAAAATATTTTATCTCCCGTCTAAGGCTATGTTCTTTTTTGATTAGCAATTTCTTTGTCATTTTTCTCTTCTCACTTTTACTATACAGTCCAAGAGAAGCCAAGCCATACCTTCAACATTTCATTTAAGTATTTCCTCAGCAAAAGATTCAGCTTCATTCCTCGTAAGTTTTATCTTTCATAAAACACTAGGGACCTCTGCAGACAGAGAGAGCAATGGAGGGAACTAGCAGTACACCATGCAAAATAAAAATGTTAACTTGATCTTTCTGACTTTTGACCTGCACACCACCCCTACTAACCACCCAACCTGGTATCCCTGAGTCAAGAGCCTCACTAGTTTACTGTCTCCCTATCATATACTTCCAGTTTTCAAATATATGGGTAAGAAGTTAGCAACAGTAAGCTAAGAAAATTTAACCATCTATATTCCTATTTTAAAGAAATAGCCTTGATTTTAGCTCCACACTTGAACTCTGAGTTTTGCAGTAACAGGTTCCTTCAAATCCCAAGACTTTCTTCAATTCTGTGGGGGCAGACAAACTCTTTTCATCACGATTTCTGTCTCTAGGCACATACTTACCTCTTTCCATGCTCTATAACTTGTAAAAATTTTTGTTTGCTTCTACCTTCTCTTCTATATTTTAACCTTATGAACTGACACTTTAAAAACATGACATTATTGACATTTAAGGTTTGAGAAAGTTCTATGATCCTTGTCTGGACATTCATATTTAAAACTCAGAAATTCATGTCTTCTTCACATGCAAAAGTACATTCATTCCATCCCAATGGCCACAAAAGTCTTAACTTATTCTACCATCGACTCAAAGGTTTGAAGTCTAACATCTCATCTAAATATGATTTAAATTAAATGAGTAAAATTCACAGTACAATAGATTTTGAAGCAAACTGATCTCCAGCTGTGAACTTGTGAAATCAAACAGGTTTTGTGCTTCAAAAATACAATGGTGGGAGGGACATAGGACAGACATTTCTATTCCAAAATAGGAAAGAAGGGGTAACATGTCCCAATTAACTCCCAGCACAACAGGGTAAACAACATTAAATCTTAAGGCCCAAGAATAATCTTTGGTTTGATGCTGTTTTCCAGGCCCACTAGTGAAGGTGGTTCTGCCCCTGTAGCTTTGCTGAGCAGGGATTTGGGGCTCCACAGCTCTGAGCATCCTTGTTCCCACAGCTTGGCAAAATGGACCTCCAGCAGCTCTGTCTGTGCTTCACTCACAGTATCGCTGTGCCTGGGCACCATGGCTCTCCTGGGCTGATGTCATAAGCTGAAGGCTCTGCCAGGAGGCTCCTTCCTTTAAAACCCAGCTGGAACCAGCCATTACCCCTGGCTTCTGCATTCTGCACCCTGGAGGAGATATGACCCTCCAGAAGGGTGACCACTGCAGCCTCTGCCACATCTAGACACACGGAAGCTGCACCTGGGGCAACTGATGAACACAGTTTAAGTATAGGGAGCAAAGCCCACAGCATGAGTTCATGCTAGGCAGTACAGCTCAAGGTCCCACAGACTCCAGTAGCCCTTACATTGCATTCTTCCATTGTTTTGAACAACAGCTCCTGGCTTCAGTTGAGATAGCTGACTAATCTCCTTATCAGATGGTCATTTGGCCACACCCTTTAAGTTCTTTCCCAAACAGCCTTTCTCATTCTTTACCATATGGATAGGCTGACAATTTTTCAAACATTTAAATTCAGCTTCATTTTTTATTATCAATTTAAGTCATTTTTCTCTTCCCACATTTTACTATACACAGGTAAGAGAAGTCAAGCCATACCTTCAACACTTTTCTTAACTATCTCCTCAAAGATTCAACTTCATTCCTGTAAGTTCTATCTTTCACAAAACACTAGGGCAGGAATGCAATTCAGCCAAGCTCTTTGCCTCTTTATAACAAGAATGATATTTACTCCACTATGCAATAACATTGTGATACTGTAAAACACATATTTGGTCTTTACCCCTATTGTGGTATCTTTTTATGCATGAGTTGAGTGATGGCTGGTAGCCCCTCAGTAACATCAGGATGGGGGCGGGTCATAAAAAAAGACCAAAACCTGACTAGAGAGTTAGGACTTCCAGCACCGCCCCTCAAAACTCTGGTGAGGGGAGAAGAACTGAGAGTTAAGCTGGTCATCAACGGCAAATGATTTAATCAATCGTACCTACATAATGAAGCTTCCATAAAACCCCAAAAGAACTGGGTATGGGGAGCTTCTAGATAGCTGAACACAGGCAAGTTTCTGGAGAGTACCATGTCCAGAGATGGCATGGAAGCTCCATATCCCTTCCACCATGACTTGCCCTACACATCTTTTCCATCTGGTTGTTCATCTGTATCTTTTTTCTTTTTTTTTTTTTCTTTTTTTGAGACAGGGTCTCACTCTGTTGCCCAGGCTGGAAGGCAGTGATGCAACCATGGCTCACTGCAGCCTCAACCTCCCAGGCTCAAGCAATCCTCCCACCTCAGACTCCCAAGTGTCTGGGACTACAGGCACACACCACCACACACAAAAGATTTCTGTTTTTTTTTTTTTTTTGTAGGGACAGGCTTTTGCCATATTGCCCAGGCTGGTCTTGAACACCTAGGCTCAAGTGACCCATCCTCTTCAGATTCCCAAAGTGCTGGGATTACAGGTGTGAGCCACCATGCCCGGCCATGTATCCTCTGTAGTACCTCTTACAACACATGAGTAAATGAAAGTAAGTTTATCTCTGAGTTCTGTGAGCTGCTCTGGCAAATTAATCAAACCTGAGGAGGAGGGGATCATGGAAACCCCTGATTTACAGTCAGTCAGAATACAGGCTACAATCTATTACTGGCAACTGGTATCTGAAACTAGGGTTAAGCATGTGGGACTGAGTGCCCAACCTGTGGGATCTGATGCTACCTCCAAGTAGATTGTGTCAGAACTGAAGTGAATTAAGAGGACACCCAACTAGTGTTTAGGAGAGAATCATCTTCTGCAGAATCTGCCAAAAAATTGGTTGTTGGTGAGGAGAATTCCTCACTCATTTTGGTAACAGAAGTGCTATGTTATACTGAGTGGTAAGGCAGACTAGGAAAAATATTTTGATTTTTTTCCTCTCTATCCTTGGAAACATGTTCTTTCTTTCCAGGTGAGACCTATCAAAATGGCCATTACTGTGCATATTTCTACCAATATTCTTTTCAGGACTATTCAAGTATTCTCTAAGAAAACTGAGGCTTTCTCTACAGCTCTCTTATAACCTCGGTTCCCACCAGAATCACCTTTAAAGGTCAGCTCACAGCAATGTAGGCCTTTGCACACATTCCGAAATTCTTCCAGCTACTACTGATTACCCAGTTTCAAAGATGTTTCCATATTTTTTGGTATTTGTTATAGTATCACTTCTACTTCTCAGTACCAACTTTCTGTCATAGTCCATTCAGTCTCCTATAACAAAATACCACAGACTGGGCAGCTTATAAAAACTAGAAATTTATTTTTCACAATTCTGTCAGCTAGGAAGTCCAAGATTCAATGTCTACTGAGGGCCCACGTCTTCATAGACAGTACATTCTAGTTGCGTCCTCACATGATGGAAGGGGAGGACATTGGTCTCTTCAGACATTTATAAGGGCATTAATTTCATTTACGAAGGTCCTACACCCAGGACCTAATCACCTCCCAAAGGTCTCACCTCCTAATATCATCAACTGGGGAATAGATTTCAACGTATGGATTTGGGGAGACATAAATATTAAGTCCACAGCAGAAGGAGAGATGCATGTATGGGGTCATTAAGCTATGTTTAATATTTTGCTTTTAGTATGAAGTTTAATCAACTAAAAACTAGGTATGAGATTAACGTTTACACATAACCATTAACTTCAGTAATAGTTCTGATGCAAAAATCGAGTTCAAAATTCAAATCCTTAGGCCAGGTGTGGTGGCTCACGCCTGTAATCCCAGCATTTGGGAGACCGAGGCGGGCGGATCACAAAGTCAGGAGTTCAAGATCAGCTTGGCCAACATGGTGAAACCCCGTCTCTACTAAAAATACAAAAATTAGCCAGGCATGGTGGCACGTGCCTGTAATCCTAGCTACTTGGGAGGCAGAGGTAGGAGAATCGCTTCACCCTGGGAGGTACAGGTTATAGTGAGCCAGGATTGTGCTAGTGCATTCCAGCCTGGGCAACAGAGCAAGACTCCGTCCCAAAAATAACATAACATAACATAACATAACATAACATAACATAACATAACATAACAAAATTCAAATATTATGTTCAATAAAACATAAATAAAAGTGGAAAATTTAATATGGTTTTAGAGTAGTTTCATCCTATTTCTTATGTTATGAACTTATCTAAAATAGATCTAGTTAGAAATTATTTGGGGTCACTACAAATTCATTGAGCGGCTTACCTCTTCTTTTCCTAATGTTATGAGAACATCTTCAGTCAAAGGAATTACTACAAAAACAAAACAAAGTCACACATCGTTAACTCTCAAAAATCAAGAATTTAATTTTGCAGTTTTCTAAGATAATTCTTTCCATCTCCATTTACATAATATAAACTCTTTTCCCCCCAAGACAGAGTTTCCCTCTTGTCACCCAGGCTGCAGTGCAATGGCGCGATTTGGCTCACTGCAACCTCCACTTTCCTGGTTCAAGCAATTCTCGTGCCTCAGCCTCCTGAGTAGCTGGGATTATAGGCATCCACTAACATGCCCAGCTCATTTTTGCATTTTTAGTAGAGATGAGGTTTCACCATGTTGGCCAAGCCAGTCTTGAACTCCTGACCTCGAGTGATCCACCTGCCTTGATAATACACAACTTTTTATGAAATGTGTGTAGTTTTCATTTTATTTATGTTTAACATCTTTGCACATATAGCCAACTACATACAATTTTAGATAAATTTGATCCTATTTATGTACCATTTAGTGCTTTTTTCTTCTTTTGTTCTTCAAACCCTCAAAAGCAAAGCTAATAATCTATAGTGTGTTCCTCAAATACCTTCCCTGCAGTCAAGTATCCTATGTACACATATGTAACATACATATACATACACTTAAAAGGGTTATTTTTATCATCATTGGTTTTATAAGAATGGGATCATATCATACATATTATATTCATCTTACTTTCACTCAATAAAGCCCCCAGGAAAACCTAGACTTATATAGGTCTAATTCATAACTTTTAATGGCTGCATGATATTCCAAAATGAATATACCATAATATACTGAGTGATTTCCCTATTGATTGAACACTTTGATTTTAGACTAACTTTGTGTCTAGTCTCTAACCATAACAAACAAGGATGCAGTAAGCAGACTTTTATATATGTTTTTATGTACTGGTGCTCTCATTTCTAAAGAACAGATTCTCAGAAATGAAATTTCGGAGAATGAAATATGTATTTTGAATCTGAGTCGAGAATGTCAGCTTCCTTTCTAAAGACATTCCCATGAGCTATGAAGAAAAAACAGCAAGAAACATTAAAAACTCTTCTAAAATTTTTGCCAGCCTGATGAATAGAAACAAATTGTGTAATTTTGTATAGCAAATTTTAATGTGTTCAATCCTTACACTAGAAATTTTCCTTTCCTAATGAAGTGCTATTTGAAACTTCTCAAATGATAGGCTACTGAAAACTTTCAAAGATATCTGCTATTCTAGAAAGCCTTCTAACAGGAAAGAACTTTCTACATGTGCTTCATAGATAGGTTTGTATTAGAATATTTACAGTGTCTGGGAAGGGCTTGTTCTCTGCTTCCAAGATGGTGTTTTCTTGCTGAGTCCTCACATAGTGGAAGGCAAAAGGGGGAAAAAAAGACTAGACACCCCCTTCAACCTCCATAAGAAGCTCACTAATCACATCCTAAGGACCCCACCTTTTAACACTATCATACTGGTGATTAAGTTTTAACATGAATTTCGCTGGACATATTTAGGCCATAGCAGACAGCTATTATCAAAAAAACAGAAAGTAACAAGTGTTGACAAGGGTGTTGAGAAATTGAAACCATGTGCACTGTTGGTGAGATTGTAATATGGTGCAACCATTATGGAAAATAGTATGGTGGTTCCTCAAAAAACTTAAAATAGAATTATCATATGATCTACTAATTTTATTTCTGGTAGACATCCAAAATAATTGAAAGCAGGGCCTCAAAGAGATAACTGCACATCCATGTTCATAGCAGCACCATGTTCATTCACAGTAATGAAATGATGAAAGCAATCCAAGTTTCCGCTGACAGATGAATAGATAAACAAACTGTGGTATATACATGCAATGGAATACTACTCAGCCTTTAAAAAGGAAGGAAATTCTAACGTGCTACAACATGGAAGACCTTTGAGGACATTACACTAAGTAAAATAAGCCACCCACAAAAACACAAATACTATATGATTCCATTATATAAGGTATCTAAACTAATTAAATTAATAGAAAGTAGAATTGAGGTTGCCAGGGCTGGGGGAAGATGGAAAAGGAGAGTTGCTGCTTAATGTGTTTAGAGTTTCAAATTTGCAAGATGAAAAAGTTCTGAAGATACACCGCACAAAAATGTGAATGTACTTAACACTACTGTGAACTATACACTTAAAAATGGTTAAAACTGTAAAGTTTATATTTTACCACAACTAAAAAATTTTCTTTAAACTAAAGAAAACCTTGGGGACTTGGGTAACTGTAACAAAAGGTCTAACATTCATATTACTGAAATTCCAGGAAAGGAGAAAGAAGGTGGCAGGAGTTGCTAAAAAAAATACACCAAATGAGAGCTAAAAAGTTCTCAAATTCTGCAAGACATAAATCTACATATTCAAGAATCTGAGTGACTCCTAAGTAAGATAAAGCCAAAGAAAGCCAGGCCAAGATACATAACTATTCTTCTAAAAGCTGAAGACAAAGAAAAAGTCCCCAAAGCAGCCACACACACACACACACACACACACAGCCTTCTCTATAAAGCAAAGCCCATCAGAATGACAGCACATTTCTCATCAGTACCAAGGGAGGCAGAGGTAAGTGGCACAACATTTTTAAGTTCCTAAAGAAAACAACCCTGAATTGTATATCCAGTGAAAATATCCTTCAGGAATGAAGGAGAAATCAAGAAATTCTCCGATAAAGAAAAACTAAGAATATTTGTTGTCAGCAGATCAACTCTAAAAGAACGGCTCAAGAAAGTTCTTGAAACAAATAATAAAAGGAATGTCAGAAGATCAGGAAGAAAGAACAAACAATAGAAAGAACAAAAACAGAGACTAAAGCTACCATAAATCCTAGTCACAAGGAAATAAATTCTGCCAACAACTTCAGTAAGCTTGGAAATGGATCCCTCCTTAAGCCTTTGAGGACAATCTATCATTGCAGCCATGAAATCCCTAAGCAGAGGATCCAGTTAAGCTATGTCCAGACTCCTACCGGCAGAAACCGTGAAACAGTAAATGTCCTCAGACCCCTGACCTACAGAAATTATGAGATAATAAATGTATGTTATATAAAGCCACTCCAAAAAAGCCTAAAACAAGATTGAGAAATGTTGGTAACTGTAGAATCTGGTCTCTGAGTTTACTGCAGCTAACTATATATATTTTTTTAACTTTTCTTTAAGTTTGAAAACTTCTATCATTGCCAGGGTGAGGGAAACCCATTGTAGTCAAGAGATAAAAAAGTCTGTTATAATAATCTAATGGACTGGTGATGAAAACCCAAAGAAAATCTGTGACAGTAGGACTCGATACTTAGTAACTAGCTATATGTTCCAGTTCTGATGTTTTTGTTCAATTTTTTTTCTCCCCCTCAGGTGATCCATCAGCCCTGGCCTCCCAAAGTGCTGGGATTGCAGACGTGAGCCACCACGCCCAATTATTCTAATTTTAACAAATGTGCTATATGTGCAAAATGAAAAAGGAAGAATCTAGGAGGACTCTTAAATTGGTAACTGATCAAATATGCTCCATTCAATGATTGAGGAAACAGAAAAGGTCAGTTTATGAATCTGAGGTGTCTATGAAATATTTTGGAAAAGACGCCTAGGAGTACAAAGATACTTGAGTCTGATATTGCAGAGAAGTCTGGTTTAAACATATAGATTTGTAAGTTGTGATTGGTTGATGTGCTTCCACCCCCAAATTCCTATGTTGACATCCTAATTCTCAATAGCTTTGAATATGATGGCATTTGAAATTGGGTACTTCAAGAGGTAATTAAGTTAAAATTAGGTTATTAGGGTTGGCCCTAATCCAATAAGACTGGTGTCCTTACAAAACGAGGAGATTAAGACACAGAAGGAAGACCATGTGAAGACACAGGAAGATGGACATCTGCAAGCCAAGGGGAGAGGCCTCAGAAGAAATCAACCTATTGACACCTTGATCTTTAACTTGTATTTTCCAGAATTGTGAGAAAATTAATTTCTGTTGTTTAAGCCACCTAATCCATAGTTTGTTATGATAGCTCTAGTATACTAATATGGAAGTTATTATTATAGATATAACACATAAAAGCAGGAGATGAAGATATAATGCTGGTATAGCATATAGGGTCCTCTGGAGAATATGAACATTCAGCAGTTATTATTATAGATATAACACATAAAAATAGGAGCAGAAGATATAATGCTGGTATAGCTTATAGAGTCCTCTGGAGAACTTGAACATTTTAATATTTGAGGCTGGGCATGGTGGCTCACACACCTGTAATCCCAACACTTTGGGAGGCTGACGCAAGAGGATCACCTGAGGTCAGGAGTTCGAGATCAGCCTGGTCAACATGGCAAAATCCCGTCTCTACTACAAATGTAAAAATTAGCCAGGCATGGTGGCAGGTACCTGTAATCCCAGCTACTTGGGAGGCTGAGGCACAAGAACTGCTTGAACCTGGAAGGCAGAGGTTGCAGTGAGCTGAGGTTGCACCACTGCACTCCAGCCTGGGTGACAGAGTAAGACTGTCTCAAAAAACAAAAAACAAAAAAACAAAAAAACAAAAAAAAAATTTCAGTATGAGCAGTTTTTGAGATGCTTACTACTGAAAAGGCAGTAAGACATACGGTTGAAGGCAAATTAAAATCACAATTGTTTAATACTACACACCTATCAGAAATGCTCAAATTAATGACTAACAGGTAGTAGTACCGATGTGGAAAAATGGTTGACATTGGCATGAAGACAGTCATTAAAGCAAGAATATGGATAAAATTGTATAGGAAGAGAATGAGGAGAAAACAGCTGAAGACTGCTCCTAGCGGAATTTCAATTAATTGGGAAAGAGAATGATAAGCCTACAAAGAAGACTAAGAAGGGAAGCATGGGGTGCAGGACAGTTAAAGGAAAGAAAACAGAGTGGGAGAAGAAAGAAGCAGGGAGACATATAGAAAAAGAGGGTACAATCCGAATAGAATACCAAATGCAGGGATACTTTGGAGATAGTACAAGTTTGGTTCTAGACCA